TTATTTGTTGGCTAAGGAGTTTATAATTCATACAGATCATGAATCTCTAAAGCATCTTAAATCGCAAAACCGTCTAAGCAAACGGCATGCTAAATGGGTTGCATTCATTGAAACATTTCCTTATATTATCAAGTATAAAAAGGGAAAAGAAAATGTTGTTGCTGATGCTTTGTCTAGACGTTACACTTTGTTAACTTCTTTAGATGCAAAATTGATGGGATTTGAGTTTATTAAAGATCTATATTGTAATGATATTGATTTTGCCAATATTTTTACTGCTTGTGAGCAAAGTGCTTTTGAAAAGTTTTATAGACATGAAGGTTATATATTTCGAGAAAATCGACTTTGTGTGCCTAAGTGCTCACTTCGAGAACTTTTGATACGCGAGGCGCATAGTGGAGGTTTAATGGGACATTTTGGTGTGCCTAAGACTTTGGATGTGCTCCAAGAGAATTTCTTTTGGCCCAAAATGAAGTCTGACGTTCAGACTATCATCAATCAATGTGTGGAGTGTAAACAAGCGAAGTCCAAATCGCTTCCTCATGGACTTTACACACCATTGCCTATCCCTGCACAACCTTGGATGGACCTATATATGGACTTTATATTAGGTTTACCTAGAACTCAAAGAGGTATGGATTCTATCTTTGTAGTTGTGGATAGATTTTCTAAAATGTCGCATTTCATTGCTTGCAGAAAAACAGATGATGCACGTCATGTTGCGGATTTGTTTCTAAAAGAAATAGTAAGACTTCATGGTGTTCCAAGAACAATTGTTAGTGATAGGGACGTTAAGTTCCTTAGCTACTTTTGGAAATCGTTGTGGGGAAAGTTGGGTACTAAGTTGTTATTCAGCACAACTAGTCATCCACAAACTGATGGTCAAACTGAAGTGACGAATCGTACTTGAGGAGCTATCCTAAGAGCGATCATCAAGAGTAATTTGAAGAAATGGGAAGAGTGCTTACCTATTGCTGAATTTGCTTATAATAGAACTGTTCACTCTTCTACTCAGTTTTCGCCTTTTGAAATTGTCTATGGTTTTAATCCGTTAACTCCTTTAGATTTATCACCTTTGCCTTTGAAGGATCAAGTTAGTTTGGATGGAGTTAAGAAAGCTGAGACAATCAAGAGACTGCATGAGAAAGTTCGCCTCAACATTGAGCGTAGGACTCAACAATATGTAAAGTCGGTGAATCGTGGTCGTAAACAAGTTGTATTTGAACCAGGTGATTGGGTTTGGGTACATATGAGAAAAGAGAGGTTTCCAAACTCTAGGAAATCGAAGTTACATCCTCGTGGAGATGGACCTTTTCAAGTAGTGTCAAGAGTCAACGACAACGCTTATAAACTTGCGCTACCAGGTGAGTATGGTGTTAGTGCTACATTCAATGTTTCTGACCTATCTCCTTTTGATTTTGATGAAGGTTTGAATTCGAGGACGAATTCTCTTAAAGAAGGGGAGTATGATGGAGACCATCTAGCTAACACTAATGGAGAGGGACATGTTGCTGCCAATAATGGAGAAGACGAGAAAGTTGAGGTCGTGAATGCTAATGGAGGATCTAAAGATGCTGCTTTAAAGAATAATCCTTACATTCGTGATCCACTTTCAAACATTGTTGGACCAATGACTCGTGCTAGACGCAAGAGGATGAATGAATCACTTAATAGTCTAATTATTACTACATGGGCTAAGGAGGAAATTAAGCTTGAAGATTACAAGCCCAAGACTATTAATTTGCTGCAAGTAACACCAAATGGACACGGCCCATTTGGAGAGAAGAATTTCGGCCCTCAATCCTCAAGGGGACCGCCGGCCACATCTCCTCATGTTGGTCGAATTGCTCCCTAAAGTTTAGGGGTAAGATCATTCAAATTTTATCTCTTTGGGAGAGAAGACTTTTATCTCTTTAAAGGATAATATTTGGGATGATTCTTTTTATCTTATTTTCGAGTTTTCCTACAATAAGGAGTCAGCTTTTTTATGTCTATTCAACCGTTGGATGAAGACTACATCAAGATGAATGGCTAAGATCACTCTACAAAGAAGATGATGATAGAGTTTTAACTCAAGGGAGATTCTATCCATTGGAATCTTTCTAAGAGATTATCTCTTTGTATTTTGGAGTTTTAATTAATTCCTACAAGTCTTAAATGTTTTAAGACTAGTAAAAGTGTCTAGGTTCGTTATCTTATCACTTAAGATAACTAGGAGTCTTTAGAGTTTGATTTCATTTCAGATTCTTAGAGATAGGAATAGAGGTGAAGAGTTGTGTTCTTCCTCTACTTCTAGGATAGAAATTTCGGCCACCCCTCTATATAAAGGGACCGAAATCCTCTTGTCCAACACCTTTGGTCATTTTGAAATTTTCCTGAGTGAAATTGGTTAGGATTTTATTCCTTTCGTGGAGTTCTTGTGAGGACTTCTTTGTTTGATTGTTGCATATGTGTTGTGACAATTGTTAGACTTATCTATCTTGTTTAGTTCACTTGATAGTGGCGTCTATAGCATTGGATCTTTCGAATCTTGGTATTTGGGCTCATAGATCTCATATCTATTGGGTTTTCTTACACAATTTTCCAAAGGGTCTCTGCTTGGTTAGAATTAGCTCTCTTCATTTTTGATTTGGGTTTTTTTCTACCATTGAACTCGTGAATTGATCCACGTGAGGTCAAATATCTTTCCTTTTCTTTGTTTTTCGTGTGTTCAGTCTTTAAATCCGAATTTTCAAATTCCGCTGCCTACAAATCTCTGACTTTCCGAATTAACAAAGTTGGTCTTTTCTTAAAGATTGATTTTGTCACGGATTGCTATCACAAGATCCATTCTTTCTTCCTTGATTGGCCTGCAAAGTAAACTTGGCATTCCAAAACTAGAATGACGGACTAGCTCATTCTCCTCACTAGGAGAATCACCATGGAAGGCGACATGATTCTCATCATCCCCTCTTTCTTTAAGAGGATTCGTCCTTGAATCATCAACCTCTAAACCTGCACAAGGAACAAACGAGATATAAGGGTTAGTAAAATCCTCACCCTCAGCACACTCTGATTTTCTCTCATTGCGTGCATCTTTTTCTGTTTCCACGCTATTTTCATGATTTTTTCTCTCCTCAAGTCTTACCTCAGCGTGATCCTTTTTACTTTCTTGCGTCACTCTCTCGACTTTTTCTCTCCCTTGTGTATAGGTTATCTTATGTCTTTTCTCTCACACAGATTCAGCTTCTACATAAGCCAAAGGCTTAAGAATATATTTTCTGTCCTCTTTGGTAAAGACAAAGATATTCTTCGAGCAATTGTGCACAGCATCTACATCTGATTGCCAAGGCCTACCTAGCAAAATATCACAAAAGAGACATAGGAATTACATCAAAGTAAATTTCATCCCTATTCACCAACTTTAAAAGATACCATGGCCTTCTTAGTAACATCTACAACCATCTCTTCACTCAACCATTGAAGCTTGTATGGTCTAGTATCTGGATCTATCTTGATTCCGTTTGCTATGCAAAATTTCTCACTTATACAATCAGTACTCGACCCAACATCGATTACCAAATCAACTTCATTGGACCACCCAACTGAACACTTAGTACGGAAGATACATGTCCGTTGATCACCATCTTCAGCGCCAAACACCAACCCTTGATCCTGAATTGGACCATTCCAACCACAAGAAGTATCATGCTCTCTCTCCATGATAGCAATCTCGTAGACGAAGCAAATTTCATTAATGCAACCATCAACAAGAAAGTACGAAGATAATTTTGTCTATCCCGTGAAACTCAAAAGAGTGCGGAAAATTCACAGTAAGACGATCGTTTATCTAAGTGATTCTATCTCTTAACTCAAACCAAGCAAAGAACACATTATCCATGAAAGATTCGAATTAAACAACAACCCACGCTAAGAATAGCAAGGACACCATTCAATATACTCGATCAGTCATTAATCAAGAGACTCAAGAAAGGTAGGAGCAAACAATGCCCAACTATGAAGGAATACTATTGATTAGTAATCTTCATAACCAACCAAAGATATGCAACACATACACTATCTCAAAATGCTTATGCCAAAGCACAACTCATCCAACAAAAAGTAGGACAAACCCCGCAATGGATCTCATGAACACACTCATCATGAAATTCGAACACCAAGCCAAAGGAAAGGCTCATCAATCGAACTACAAGAAGTAGTATGAAAATAAGAAGTTTAGTTTTAAAACAATTCTATCAAGAAGCATACTTGAAAAAGAATGGTTTCTGCGAGATCAAAAAGATCCAAGACAAGATGAAAACCCTCTTGGTTTAATCATACTTGACACGAAAAATGGACACTCCATTTAACAAAAATTCCTCACAGGAAAAACTCTCAAAAGAAACAACAAAAATGACCACTCAAGGGTGCTTCTAAAATTCGGCCAAGCCTCCTATATATAGGCTTGAATTTTTCGGCCAGCACCACTAAAAAGAAGACCAATTAGGACTCTCTAATCTTATCTCACAAGGAGTAAAAGTAGAAGAGTACTTGATCTCTTTGACTCTATCTAAAATCTAGGAAACCTTATCTAAATCATTTATCCTCAAGTAGGATAATATCTAGAAGGAATCTAAGACTCCTAATCAAAACACTCTAGCTTAATTCAGTCTACATGACTTATTTAACTAGATAAAATTCGAAAATAACTCCTAGACTTAGACAATGACTCTAATCTCGAAATTCAGCTCCAAATTATTGAAGTAAAATGTCTTGAACGCCCTTCCAAAAGTGGAATATTGGTCTTGCACCCCTCAAGTTGTAGAAACCTCCAATTTACTCCAAAACTTATAGAATTCTCTTTATTGACTCCAAAAGATTGGAAAAACACTTGAAACAATTAAGATAGTTTGCAACCTATCCAATTGTGTAGCAATGGACTCAATCTTGAACACTTTGATCAAATAGGTCGTCCACTCAAGAACCTAAATGACTCTTCTCACTAGCTTGATCAATGATCTTCATGAAGCACACAGAGTCAAACTCTCTTGATACTCTTCAGCACTTATTTCCATGAGGTCTTCATCTCCTTTGATTTGCACCCCAAAGTCAATGACATTCTCATCACCTTGATCATAGCTCTCTTGAACCAACTCCCTATCACATAGGTGGTCAAGATCCATCCTTTCTTCCTTGATTGGCCTGCAAAGTAAACTTGGCATTCCAAATCTAGAATGAAGGACTAACTCATTCCCCTCACTAGGAGAACCTCCATGGAAGGCTACATGATTCTCATCATCCCCTCCTTCTTTAAGAGGATTCGTCCTCGAATCATCAACCTCTATACCTGCACAAGGAACAAACGAGATATAAGGGTTAGTAAAATCCTCACCCTCACCACACTCTGATTTTCTCTCATTGCGTGCATTTATTTCTTTTTCCACGCTATTTTCATGGTTTTCTCTCGCCTCAAGTCTTACCTCATCGTGACCCTTTTTACTTTCTTGCGTCACTCGCTCGACTTTTTCTCTCCCTTGTGTATAGGTTATCTTACGTCTTTTCTCTCGCACAGATTCAGATTCTTCTTAGGCCAAAGGCTTAAGAATATATTTTCTGTCCTCTTTAGTAAAGACAAAGATATTCTTAGAGCAATGGTGCACAACATCTACATCTGACTGCCAAGGCCTACCTAGCAAAATATCACAAAGAGACATAGGAATTACATCAAAGTAAATTTCATCCCTATACTCACCAATCTGAAAAGGTACCATGGCCTTTTTAGTAACATTAACAACCATCTCCTCACTCAACCATTGAAGCTTGTATGGTCTAATATGCGGATCCATCTTAATTCCGTTTGCTATGCAGAATTCCTCACTTACACAATCAGTACTCGACCCACCGTCGATTACCAAATCAACTTCATTGGACCACCCAACCGAACACTTAGTACGGAAGATACAAGTCCGTTGATCTCCATCTTCTGCTCCAAACACCAACCCCTGATCCTCAATTGGACCATTCCAACCACAAGAAGTATCATGCTCTCTTTCCACTTCCAAGGCAGCATAGTATGCCTCATAGAGCCTTGATTGTCTCCTTATCTTTGGATGTTGTTTGAAACACTTGTCCAAGCCATAGTGGAAACGGTCTATCAACATGTAGTCGTTCTCATCCACTTCTGAACTCAGAAACAACCCCTCTAATTCCTCAAAGTAAGATTGAATGGATCTACCATTCTGCTTACAATTGAGCAACTTCACTTTTGCTTCATCAAAGGTGTTAGTACCAGCATATCTTTCTCGCAAAGCACTTCTCAAATCATTCCAATCATCCAAATTACGATACCAATAATGCGAATAGATATGTGAAACTAGTTTCCACCAATTCAAAGCATTAGAACGAAAACAACCTATTGCTAAGGCTATTTTCTCACTCTCTTTCTCTATGTTAAGCAACACAAACAAATTCTCTATGCTCTTTTCCCAAGTATCATATTCTCTATGACAACCATAAAACAAAGGCAATGACACTTGCAACATTCCAGCATATGAGGGTACTTGTTTAACTTCAAAACGATCACATAAGACTCTTAAATTTTCATCAATTTTCTCAAAACTTACCATAGCTTTATCTTGCTGATTTGAAAGCAATTGAGACAAGTCTCGGTTTGCCTCCTTAACCTCGGCCCAAGCATCATGTAGGAAGTCAATTTGACTCTTCATGAGCTGTACTGGAGACTCGATGCGACCCTCTACACTCTTTGAAGCGATTTGAGTACAACCAGCAACTTCGGATGACATCTTTGCTCAACAACTCTGAGAAACCACCAACAAAAGAAGTAATGTGCCTTGTTTACTACACAAAAACTCCTTGAACCCTAGAACCAAAGTTTGGTTCGGCCAAACCCCCCCCCCCCCAAGAACCAAAGGAAGGTTCAAATAAAGCTCTCCCCAAAAACAAAAACTCTCTTGTGCTTTTAAGAACACAACTCTCAAAATTTTCAGAATTAAAGAGAAGAGTGCTCCTCTTGCTTTTCTCTTTTGATCTCGGCAGCAAGAAAGAAGAAGAAAAATTGGAGTAGAGTGATGTGAGAATTTTCGAAAAACAGCACTCCTAGTTATAGGTAATGCAAGTCTTTTTGTGCAAGAAAACTCCTACAAGATAGGACCTAAATTTTCTCAAAAATATTCCGTCCTAATTGATGAAGGCTGCTCGACAATGTGGAATAAAGAAGAAGAAAAACCCGGCCTCATATATATAGACAAGGATAGAGTCCTAAAACTTAGGCAAACATAATCCTTTTCGGACACAAATTAAGAAAACTCATCCCTACTTATTAGAGATAAAATTTTCGACCCCCCTACTACTAAAAGGACTCATACACGGCCACAAACATGCACAAATGTATTAGAAGACTAAAAAAAATTTTCAGCTTAGGATAATACTTCCTTATCTTAATAGTTTTCGAAAATAGACTCACTTTAAAACTCTAATTATAATCTCACTGAAATTATAATTTAACACATGCAAAAATTAGTATTTAAATCCAAGTAGGACTTAAATAAAACACACAATAAAATTGTATTACAATTAGGAAACAATGGCTGCAAATTTTCGGCCAATGTGAACACAAAAATCCAAAACCGAATAGGACTTAAATCATAACACAATTTGGACACAATGACCTTAATTTTAGAGCTAAAATTTTCGGCCATGTGAACACACAAATACAAGACCAAATAGGTCTCCAAGTGTAACACAAATAGACAACCAAAATTCAAGTTCAACTAGAACTAGGAAAACCTAATTTTTAGCTTCACAATTTCGGCTATACTATGACTCTAAAATTCAAAACCAACTAGACTTAGAATAACACATAAATCACATGCACACACATGCAAAAAGTCAGCAAAATTTCGGCCATTAACCTTTTACCAAATAGTTAAAACTTGAAAAATTACTTTTGACTCACTTAAAAAGGAAACTTGAAAATTACCACTTTCCAAAAATGGATAACTTTTAGAATCTTTCTAAAAACCCTTTTCCAAATTGTACTTGGAATTAACAAAGATCACTTTTTACGAAAACAATCCATGGCAAATAAAGTAACAAGAACACCATAATTATAATGAAGTAGGAAATTAAAGTTCCTTATTCAATTATGACATTTGCTTCATAATACTAAATTCAACACAAATCATTTTGAAAACTCAATGACTTAACAATGCTATCTTCATAAGTGACCATTGAAAATCAATCTTCCAACAACCAAATATGTAAACTTTGAGAATACATCTCAAAACCTATAAGATTTCTTGTCATACATTAAGAAAATCTTTTTAGAAAAACTTCACTCAATTTTCGACCCTACTCTCGAAAATCAAGGTTTTAGAACACAAGTCAAAGACTTCAATCCCTAAAGTTGGCACAATTCAACTTCAAAGACCTTAAAACACTTTGATACCAAAACTGATATCACTAAAATTCATTCTTCATCACTTGACAAAGAAAGTTTTTGACTCAAACTCAAAGCGTAAAACTCGAGAAAACAAGAAAACCAACATTTGTTACTTTTGAAAAATCTTTTGACACTAAGATTAAACAAAATAATCGGTCTCTATGAAATTTTCATGAATTGAAAATCCATAAATTCCATTTTACTCATTAGATTCAAATGAAACCAACAAGAAGGAAGGCTTTTTCATTTATACTTTATGTAGAAAGTACAAAATCCTTAAGCTTCACCTTTCAAGAATAGATCCAAGATATTTACCACAAGATAAATTCTCAAATCTTCCTTATGCAAAGACATCTCTTTAGAAAGAAAAGGCTATCTCGAGCAAGAAGCTCTTCTTTGGCATCAATTCTCTCCTTAAAGATCCAACACATAAGATCCACCAACTTGCTCATAGGAGAAACAGTTCTCTACTTGCAAATCAAGGATAAATTTCAAGATGTAGCGCCCACTTTGATTAGATACCAACGTACCATCATCAAGCTCTCGCATAGACCTTAAAATAACACCACAAGATCAAACAAATGTGTAAGAAGTCTCCCACAACCACACAAAAGACAAGATCAATTTTGAAAACGTAGTTTTCACAAGAATTTGATTTATTTTTTTCAACACCCCATTCCAAAACAAGAAGGAACCTTGAAACAAATAAAGATAGTACTACTCGTTAAGTAGCACAAAGCTCGATCACCACACCAAGTAACGGATTCCGTGGTAATTCAAGATATTCTCAAAACCAAGAACTATAAAGTTCCCAACTAAGAAGAAATCTCTCGAAAATCAAACTGATAATAGGAATTGATATGACAATATCAATTAATACCATCACTAAGATAATTCAAGCTCTGATGCCAAGAAACTGATAGCAATCTCGTAGACGAAGCAAATTTCATTAATGCAACCATCAACAAGAAAGTACGAAGATAATTGTGTCTATCCCGTGAAACTCAAAAGAGTGCGAAAAATTCACAGTAAGACGATCATTTATCTAAGTGATACTATCTCTTAACTCAAACCAAGCAAAGAACACATTATCCATGAAAGATTCGAATTAAATAACAACCCACGCTAAGAATAGCAAGGACACCATTCAATATACTCGATCAGTCGTTAATCAAGAGACTCAAGAAAGGTAGGAGCAAACAATGCCCAACTGTGAAGGAATACTATTGATTAGTAATCTTCATAACCAACCAAAGATATGCAACACATACACTATCTCAAAATGCTTATGCCAAAGCACAACTCATCCAACAAAAAGTAGGACAAACCCCGCAATGGATCTCATGAACACACTCATCATGAAATTCAAACACCAAGCCAAAGGAAAGGCTCATCAATCGAACTACAAGAAGTAGTATGAAAATAAGAAGTTTAGTTTTAAAACAATTCTATCAAGAAGCATACTTGAAAAAGAATGGTTTCTGCAAGATCAAAAAGATCCAAGACAAGATGAAAACCCTCTTGGTTTAATCATACTTGACACGAAAAATGGACACTCCATTTAACAAAAATTCCTCACAGGAAAAACTCTCAAAAGAGACAACAAAAATGACCACTCAAGGGTGCTTCTAAAATTCGGCCAAGCCTCCTATATATAGGCTTGAATTTTTCGGCCAGCACCACTAAAAAGAAGACCAATTAGGACTCTCTAATCTTATCTCACAAGGAGTAAAAGTAGAAGAGTACTTGATCACTTTGACTCTATCTAAAATCTAGGAAACCTTATCTAAATCACTTATCCTCAAGTAGGATAATATCTAGAAGGAATCTAAGACTCCTAATCAAAACACTCTAGCTTAATTCAGTCCACATGACTTATTTAACTAGATAAAATTCGAAAATAACTCCTAGACTTAGACAATGACTCTAATCTCGAAATTCAGCTCCAAATTATTGAAGTAAAATGTCTTGAACGCCCTTCCAAAAGTGGAATATTGGTCTTGCGCCCCTCAAGTTGTAGAAACCTCCAATTTACTCCAAAACTTGTAGAATTCTCTTTATTGACTCCAAAAGATTGGAAAAACACTTGAAACAATTAAGATAGTTTGCAACCTATCCAATTGTGTAGCAATGGACTCAATCTTGAACACTTTGATCAAATAGGTCGTCCACTCAAGAACCTAAATGACTCTTCTCACTAGCTTGATCAATGATCTTCATGGAGCACACAGAGTCAAACTCTCTTGATACTCTTCAGCACTTATTTCCATGAGGTCTTCATCTCCTTTGGTTTGCACCCCAAAGTCAATGACATTCTCATCGCCTTGATCATAGCTCTCTTGAACCAACTCCCTATCATATAGGTGGTCAAGATCCATCCTTTCTTCCTTGATTGGCTTGCAAAGTAAACTTGGCATTCCAAATCTAGAATGAAGGACTAACTCATTCCCCTCACTAGGAGAACCTCCATGGAAGGCTACATGATTCTCATCACTCCACTTCTAAGGCAGCATAATATGCCTCATAGAGCCTTTATTACCTCCTTATCTTTTGGGTGTTGTTTGAACCCCTTGTCCAAGCCATAGTGGAAACGATCTGTCAACATGTAGTCGTTCTCATCCACACCGGAACTCATAAACAAACCTTCTAACTCCTCAAAGTAAGATTGAACGGATTTACCATTCTGCTTACAATTGAGCAACTTCACTTTTGCTTCATCAAAGGTGTTAGTACCAGCATATCTTTCTCGCAAAGCATTCCTCAAATCATGCCAATCATCCAAGTTACGATACCAATGATGTAAATAGATATTTGAAACTATCATCCACCAATTCAAAGCACTAGAACGAGAACAACCTATAGCTAAGGCTATATTCTCACTCTCTATCTCTATATTAAGCAACACAAACAAATTCTCTATGCTCTTTTCCCAAGTATCATAGTCTCCATGGCAACCATAAAACAAAGGCAATAACACTTGCAACATTCCAGCATACGAGGGTACTTGTTTTACTTCAAAACGATGACATAAGACTCTTAAATTGTCAGCAATTTTCTCAAAACTTACCATAGCTTTATCTTGCTGATTTGAAAGCAATTGAGATAAGTCTCGGTTTGCCTCCTTCACCTCGGCCAAAGCATCATGCAAGTAGTCAATTTGACTCTTCATGAGCTGTACTTGAGCCTCCATGCGACCCTCTACACTCTTTGAAGCAACTTGAGTACAACCAACAACTCCGGATGACATCTTTGCTCAACAACTTTGAGAAATTACTAACAAAAGAACTAATGTGCCTTTGTGTGCCTTTGTGACTACACAAAAACTCCTTGAACCCTAGAACCAATGATGGTTCGGCCGAAACCCCCCCAAGAATCAAAGGAAGGTTCGAATAATGCTCCCCCCAAAAACAAAAACTCTCTTGTGCTTTTAAGAACACTAACTATCAAAAATTCAGAATAAAGAGAAGAGTGCTTCTCTTATTTTACCCTTGTAATCTCGGCAGCAAGAAGAGGAAGAAGAATGGAGTAGAGTGGTGTGAGAATTTTCGAAAAACAGCACCTCTATTTATAGGCAATGCAAGTCTTTTTGTGCAAGAAGACTCCTACAAGATAGGACCTAAATTTTCTCAAAATATTCCCCCCTTAATTGATAAAATTTCAGTCGAAAAGATGGAATAATAAGGAAGAAATCCGGCCACATATATATAGAAAAGGATAGAATCCTAAAACTTAGGTAATCATGATCCTTTTTGGACACAACTTATGAAAGATTCATCCCTACTAATTAGAGATAAAAAATCCAACCCCCTACTACAATTAGGACTCAAAAACACGGCCACACACAAGCACAATTGTATTACAAGACTCAAAAATTTTCAGATTAGGATAAGACTTCCTCACCTTAATAGTTTTCGAAAATAGACTCACTTTAAAACTCTAATTATAATCTCACTGAAATTATAATTTAACTCTTGCAAAAATTAGTATTTAAATCCAAGTAGGACTCAAATAAAACACACAATAAAATTGTATTACCATTAGAAACAATGGCTGAAAAATTCGGCCAATGTGAACACCAAAATCCAAGACTGAATAGGTCTCAAATCATAACACAATTTGGACTCCATGACCTTAATTTTAGGGATAAAATTTTTGGCCATATGAACACACAAATACAAGACCAAATAAGTCTCAAAGTATAACACAAATAGACAACCAAAATTCAAGTTCAACTAGGACTAGGAAACCCTAATATTTAGCTCAAAAATTCGGCTATACTATGACTCTAAAATTCCAAACCAACTAGGCTTAGAACTCCACATAAAACACACACACACACATGCAATAAATCAGCAAAAATTCAAAATTTAACTTTTACCACATAATTAAAATTTGAAAAATTACTTGTAACTCACTTTAAAAAGGAAACTTGGAAATTACCACTTTCCAAAATGTCCAACAACTTTTAGAATACTTTCTAAAAACCACTTTCCAAATTGTATATGGAATTAACACAAATCACTTTTTACCAAAATAATCCATGGCAAATAAGAAAAACCAGAACACCATAAGTATAATGAAGTTGGAATTTAAAGTTCCTCATTCAACTAAGACGTTTGCTTCATAATACTCAATTTAACACAAACCATTCATAAGACTCAACGACTCAACAAAGCCATCTTCATAAGTGACCATTTGAAAATCAAAATTTTCAAAGACCAAATATGTAAACTTCAAGAACATATCTCAAAGCCTATAACATTTCTTGTTATATATAAGAAAATCTTTAGTAAAACTTCACTCAATTCTCGATTCAACTCTCGAAAATTAAGGTTTTAAACACAAGTCAAAGACTTCAACCCTTAAAGATGGCACAATTCAACTTCAAAGACCTTTAAACATTTTGATACCAAAATTGATATCACTAAAATTCATTCCTCATCAAATGATAAAGAAAGTTTTGAAACTCAAGTTAAGAATCATGGAAAGTCCAATGATAGGAAGATCCACTAATTCGACTTATTCTCAAAGTATAAAACTCGAGAAAAACAAAAAAAAAACGAGATTTGTTACTTTTGAAAATCTTTTGACACTAAGATTTAAACAAAAACAAAATAATCAAAAGGAGCAGAACTCTATGAAATTCTCATTGATTGAAAATCCATAAATTCCATCTTACTCATTAGATTCAAATGAGGACCAACAAGAAGGAAGGCTTTTTCATTTATACTTTATATAGAAAGTACAAAATCACTAAGCTTCACCTTTCAAAGAATAGATCCAAGATATTTACCACAAGATAAACTCTTAAACCCTCCTCATGTAAAGACATGTCTTTAGAAAGAAAGGGCTATCTTGAGCAAGAAGTTCATCTTTGGCATCAATTCTCGCCTTAAAGATTCAACACATAAGATCCACTAACTTGCTCATAAGAGAAACGGTTCTCTACTTGCAAATCAAGGATAAATTTCAAGATGTAGCGCCCACTTTGACTAGATACCAATGTATCATCATCAAGCTCTCGCATAGACCCCAAAATAACACAACAAGATCAAACAAATGTGTAAGAAGTCTCGCACAACCACACAAAAGACAAGATCAATTTTGAAAACGTAGATTTCACAAGAATTTGATTTATTTTTTCAAAACCCATTCTGCAACAAGAAGGAACCTTGAAACAAATAAAGATAGTACTACTCGTTAGTAGCACAAAACTCGATTATCAAACCAAGAAACGGATTCCGTGGTAACTCAAGATATTCTCAAAACCAAGAACTATGAAGTCCTCAATCAAAAAGAAATCCCACGACAATCAAATTGATAATATCAATTAATACCATCACTTACATAGTTCAAGCTCTGATACTAGAAACTAATAGTAATCTCGTAGATGAAGCAAATTTCGTTAATGCAACCATCAAACAAGAAAGTACGAAGATAAGTTGTCTATCCCGTGAAACTCAAAAGAGTGCGGAAAATTCACAGAGCCATAGACATGTGTTTATTCACTCCATTTGGGCTTGAAGTCATTCATTATAATATCTTATAAGTTAGAGCAAGATTTGGAGCCATTCTGATGTACGAGATGAGACTTGTCCATATGGGCCATTAGGATAGCTTGAAACCGTACATGTGGATTTGAGGACCCACAGGCATGCGTTTTTTCCCTCAATTTGGATTTGAAATCATTCATTATATAACTTATAAGTTTTACCAAGGTTTGGAGCCAATCTGATGTACGAGATGAGTTTGTCCATATGGGCCATTAGGATAGCCTCAAACCATTCATGTGGGGAGCCATAGGCTTGTGTTTGTTCAATCCATTTGCACTTCTGATCATTCACTATATATCTTATAAGTTATGGGGTTTGGAGCTATTTCGATGTACGAGATGAGACTTGTCCATATGGGCCATTAGCATTGCTTGAAACCGTACATGCAGGATTACAGTGCCATAGTCATTTGTGATGAGAATCATATAGCCTTCCATGGTGGTTCTCCTAGTGAGGGGAATGAGATAGTCCTTCATTCTAGTTTTTGGATGCCAAGTTTACTTTGCAGGCCAATCAAAGAAGAAAGGATGGATCTTGACTACCTATATGATAGGGAGTTGGTTCAAGAGAGCTAAGATCAGGATGATAAGAATGTCATTAACTTTGGGGTCCAAACCAAAAGAGATAATTCACTCATGGAAGTAAGTGCTCAAGAGTATCAAGGGAGTTTGACTCTAGGTGCTCCATGAAGATCATTGATCAAGATAGAGAGAAGAATCATTTAGGTTCTTGAATGGACGCCCTATTTGATGAAAGTGTTCAAGATTGGGTCCGTTGCTACCCAATTGGATAGGGTGCAAACTATCTCAATTGTTTCAAGTGTTTTTCTATTCTTTTGGAGTCAATAAAGAGAATTCTACAAGTTTTGGAGTAAATTAGAGTTATCTACAACTTGACGGGCGCAAGAGCAATATTCTGCCTTTTGGAAGGGCGTTCAAGACATTTTACTTCAACAATTATTGCTAAATTTCAAAATTAGAATTTGTCTAAGTCTAGGAGTTTATTTTCGAGTTTATCTAGTTAAGATAAGCCATGTGGGCTGAATTAAGCTAGAGTGTTTTGTTTATGATAGATTCCTTCTAAGTATTATCCTATTTGAGGATATGTCATTTAGATAAGGTTTCCTAGATTTTAGATAGAGTCAAAGAGATCAAATACTCTTCTAACTCTACTCCTGCGAGAGATAAGATTAGAGAGTTTTAGTTGGTCTTCTTTTGTGCTTTGTAACCGAGGTTGCTACTCTATAAATAGGGGGGCATGGTCGATGGTTATAGGTACCCGTGTGTGGTCATTTTGAGTCTTCTCTAATGAGAGTTTTTCCTTTTAGGAATTTTTGTTAAATGGTGTGTCAATTTTTCATTTGTCAAATATGATTTAACCAAGAGGGTCTTTCATCTTGTCTTGGATCTTTTGATCTTGTAGAAACCGTTCTTTTTCAAGTATGCTTCTTGATAGAATTGTGTTATAACTAAACTTCTTATTTTCATACTACTTCTAATAGTTCGAGAGTTGAGCCTTTATGGGGTTTGTCCTACTTTTTGTTGGATGAGTTTTGCTTTGCCATAAGCATTTTGAGATAGTGTTTGTGTTGCATATCTTTGTTGGTTATGGAGAGTACTAATCAATAGTATTTGATAAGAATCATGTAGCCTTCCATGGTGATTCTCCTAGTGAGGGAAATGAGCTAGTCCTTCATTCTAGTTTTGGAATGCCAAGTTTACTTTGCAGGCCAATCAAGGAGGAAAGGATGGATCCTGACTACCTATGTGATAGGGAGTTGGTTCAAGAGAGCTATGATCAAGATGATGAGAATGTCATTAACTTTGGGGTTCAAACCAAAGGAGATGATGACCTCATGGAAATAAGTGCTCAAGAGTATCAAGGGAGTTTGACTCTAGGTGCTTCATGAAGATCATTGATCAAGCTAGTGAGAAGAGTCATTTAGGTTCTTGAATGGACGGCCTATTTGATCAAAGTTTTCAAGATTGAGTCCATTGCTACACAATTGGATAGGTTGCAAGCTATCTTAATTGTTTCAGGTATTTTTCTAATCTTTTGGAGCCAATAAAGAGAATTCTACAAGTTTTGGAGTAAATTGGATTTTTCCACAACTTAAGGGGTGCAAGACCAATATTCCACTTTTGGAAGGGCGTTCAAGACATTTTACTTCAAATTTGGAGCTGATTTTCGAGAT